ATGTAAATGGATGCCAGAAGCTGAAATGAAGCACCAGCTCCTGACTCCCCTCACCTGTATGGATCACGCTTGGACTCCAACATGCCAAGCATGGATCCAACCTCCTGAACTATGCTGTGCTGTCTGCTCAGTGCACACCCATGGGTGGCATCTGGGATCTCTGCATGCCTGACATGATGAGGGAGCAATTCCTGCAGGGTCCTGGGCTCTACAGAAATCCTATAAGCATGGAGAGGCAAACTTCACTGAGACAAAACTTCTGTGGTGGGTAGTGGGTCCAGGGAAATTTGCATGTACATATACATTTGAAAAGAACCCATATGGAAGCAGCCAGGAAATTCCATTCTTACATTCTCAACACTGGGAGTTTTTAAAAGAAAATATATGTCATTTATTTGCCAGAAAAGTAGAAATCCTAATAGTCACTGTCTAAATAGCAAAATGTCAGAAAGGGTAAGATCCATAAAAAAATTACAGAAAGAGAAATCTTTGAATCCTTTGTCAGGAAGGTACTGACATCCCTTGCAAGTAGAATTCTGTCTTTATTGTCACTGACTGCAGAGGGAGATGAGAATGCTGCTTGTTATCACAGCGGGGGCTGTATATTCAGCTGAAGAGTCTCCATCACCATGGTATTTCCAGCAGCTCTCAATTTTAATCATCAAGCTCCACTTTACAGATGGAGAAAGCTTTTTAGTTCCCTTCCCCCTTTTTAACAGGTGGTAAAAGGATTTGCTGAAGATACGTAAGATTCTGGCAACTGCAAAAATAGATGTTCGTCCTCTGAATTCCCATCCCCTATCCTAATTAAAAGCAATTGATGTCATCCTTCCTTCTGTGTTGTGAAATACATAGTTAAGTATAGCCTATATTAGTGTAGCAGCAGGTTGTTTTTCTGATAAATGAAGAAGTACATCTCTTAATTTCAGCTGTCACCATGGATGGGGATTGCTGGGGGATGGGGGAAAGAAAATGGCCAATAGAACCAGGATGTTTATCTTTGAAATTCTGAATAAGCAACCAGCTGCACAAAGTGTCTTTCAGAAAGGAACATCTTCTGTTGCTATTTCTGTTAATCAAAAAGACATTTAGATCAATAAGCTGCATTATAAAGGGGGACATGTGTATGCTCAAGCCCTTTTCTCTCCATGACTTTTCCATTGTTGTTCCTATGTGTACAGGCTACTACTTTGCCTTAGTTTTTACATGGTTTTTATGTGTATTTTATTTTCCTGCTTGTTACTAAGTCTCCATCTGAAGAAAGTTTGTTCTTTTCACTGTTGGCATTTGATGTTTTTGGTTGGATTGACTCCTTCCTCTGAAAAGAATGAGCTCCTTTCTTCCCCTCAGTGACCCCTTTTTGCTGTTCCACTACAAAACAAGCCATCGCCGGTCACTGCTGTGGCTCTTAGGGAGGGGCAGAAAGCAGCTCCTCCTCCTACTTCAGAGGAGAACCCCAGGGGAGGGGGTGCTCACATCTTTAGTCCCAGTGAGTCACTCATAGCACACAAGTCTTAAAATGCTAGCTTTGGTTTGCTGCTATGCACTTTTGGCAGTGAAACATAAATATTTAGTCACTGTTGCAAAGCCAAGGATTGACGCTTGACACACACACACACAAAAAAAGAGGAAAGTGCCCACGAATAGGCTGTTTGTTGTTTCTTCTGGCAGTAACATCTTACAGCATGGAGAAACAGCTGAGCCTTTGCATGTTGACTTCTAAATAAAAATAAATCATAATATGGACTCTTATTCCAAGTAAAAATACTTGATTTTAAAAGAATTGTTAACAAGCAAGGTCCATCACAGATTTTGTAATAGGAATTTGTCCTCTCCAGGAAGTTGATTTTCTCTGCCCAAGCCCAGGCACTAGGAGGCAATTCTGCACTCACAGTGCATTTCATGCTTCCAAAATCCAGAAAGTAGATTGTATTGATGCCTCTCCCCTTACTAGTCTTCAGAAAGTAAAGGCTACCTGTTGAATCACTAAGTAACCAACGAGCACCTGCCTAGGACAGCACCTCTCCTGCCCCCACCTATCCAGCTGCAGCAGAAAGTTGTCAGCAACAAGAATATATTGCCAACGATAAGAATAATAATAATTATTCTGAAAAGGGTGATTTTTCTTCCAGGTAGCAGATGAGATGGTAGGACAACCTGTTACAGCAGAACAAAAGTGACTTCATGCATCTAGAGATTGGGGATATTTGTGTCTGTAACCTAAATCTGCTTCCATAGAAAGAGAGAAAGCAGGAAGAAAGTGAGAAGTTGGCTCTAGGGCTCAGCAATGTAGATGGAAATGGCTGCAACTCCAGGACAAACTCAGGTGGCCATCTTGTGTTTACAACTCCTGGAGAGCTGCGTGATGTTGTGCCGCGTCATGTCTGGGTTTCCCAGCTGCTGCTGCAAACCAAGAGCTCTCCTATCACTGGTGGGCAGGGGACCCACCCCACTGAGCTGTGGTGAAGTCAAGTGCAGAGCTCTTTTGCTGCCTCTCACAGAAACACAAGGGAATGCCGCGGGGAGGAGAGGCCGTCTGATAACACCCACCGCAGAAGTGTGGGGGTGGACAAAGGAAATTTCCTTGTCAGCTTGTGAATGTGATAAAGAGTGCAAATAGGCAGGCATGCAAACAAACACCAACTATTTAGTAAAGCACAGCTATTCTTAGTTTGTGGATTCTATCAGCCCAGGTGCCTCCAGCATAACAAACTCATCATCTCTGCTTCAGGTTTGTCTTTCTCTTTTCCCCATAACCTTGCACAGACCTCTTAGCTGTTTCTAATTTAGGAAAAAAAATTCATGTTATATATGGGGAATTCATCTTGTATTTCTTGTAACTTAATGCAATTCCAAAGTTTAGCTGGGGCTTTCCTGCAAGGAAGGGGTGCAGAAGGTCCTGTTTTTTTCCTCTTGTCCCTTCTGGAGCCTTTATTTGCCTGTCACCTAATCCTGTTGGAGCAAAAACATTATCACTTTCCCAAACTCCCTCAAGTTCCCTGACACACAGAGTGTACAGATGTCCCAGCATTTTCACCATGCCCTAAAGATGCTCACTGGGGTATGGAAGAAATTCAGATCTTGGGCAAATATTTATACCCCAGCACAGCAGGAAAGGGAGGTAATCCACCCTTTTCCTGCTTGGATAAAGCCTAAGGAGATATTAAAGAGTTATCCAGGTGAACCAGTTATGCCTTGGTTGGGAATTAGGGTATATGGGTTAAAGAATATGGAAACTGTAAGAGACAAAGAGTAGGAAGTATTAAATATCCAGAACTGTTTGTGGCCAGAGCAAACCAAACTACCCAACTAAAATTAAGTAAAAAGTAAAATAGAGGAATTTAGGGTGACTAAAGGGAATTCAATGCAGAAAAGAAGGTTAATTTTCACTGTAAAGTTAAAACTAAACAGCTTCCCTTTTTTTGCTTTATTAAAAAAAAAAACAAACAAAAACCAAAACAAAACAAAACCAAAAAAAACCCAGAACAGCAACCAAAAAAACAAAACAAAAATAAAAAACACATAAAAACAATGAACCAAATACCCAGTGCTGAGCAAGGAAGGCAAAAGAGGGCAGGTGCAGTGTTTCTTTCTTCTGTCCTACTAATTTTCTTTCCAGATCTTACCTTGGAGATGCACTGGTCCTGTAGCCAGTCCACAGTTTTTCTGCTCTTGGAACTATCTTGTTCTGCTAATGGGAATGGAACACAGACAAAAAAACAAAGCCTATATACATATAAACGTGTGCCTCTGTGTGTGTGTATGTATATACACACATTTAAACACTGTTTTTAAGAGTTCACTTGCTGCCTTTGGATGCTCATGGCATGGAGCATGAATAGCATGAGAGCATTCAAATGTAGCTAGTGAATATTTTAGGAAAGAAAATTCTTTTTTTCTTCTCCTCCTTCCTCCACAGTAAATGGTGAAATAAGAAGTGTTAGTGGGCCTGAAGTCATGGGGCCCAAGGCTTGGATTGGAGCAGGGAGAGCAGATTGCACCTTCAGCTCCTGAGGGGCCAACAAACAAAAATAATAATGTAATATAGAAAACAGTTATATCCCCAACACCACTTTTCTTTTTTTTTTTTTAATAAACACTCCTGATCCGAGGTGATTATGGAAAAATAGCATTTTAGAACAAAATTGACAAAAATACTGCAATAAAAGGGGTAGAAAGGGAGGCTGACATTCTAGTGAAAGGGCAAATGTGAGTCAGTAATTGTACTTTTTTTTTAAATGCATGTGAAATGTGAAGCAACTGTTAACAGAGTAGAAATCTCTGGGAGACAATGGCAAGTGGCTTCCCCCTCTGAAACAAGAACTTGTGGGTATTTTCAGACTGGGAGACTAGATTTAATGAGCTTGTAAGCTGTGGTATTATGATATATCTTCCAAGAGCATAATTAAGAATGAATTAATAGACTGTAAGAAAACATTTTTCTCATTTAACTTAAAACAATAAGTTAGGAGGGAAAAGGAAAGACTGTTTCGAAGGACCCTTTGCTTACTCCAGTTAAAAAGCCCATACCTATGAAGTGATTTAACCATATCTGTGTAAACTTTGCTTTTACATAGCATGGTCCATAACCATAGGAAGGGATGTTTGTGTGGACCACCTGTTTCCTCTTCATGGTCCCACTGTTTCTACAGGAGGCACATTGATTGCATGATAAGTAATGTTGAGCTTAGCAATGAAACGTGACATTGGAGCTGAAAAGAAGAAGCTGTGACTCTCTGTGGACTACCACCGAGATAGTGCCATGTATGGGTGCTACACCACAGTCTGAAAAGCACCCTGCAATCTCCATCTCTCCAACAGCTTGGGAGATGCAGGGGGAGATAGCAATGTGACCTTTATAAATAGCTGAGTTATGCTCAATTTTTTCTTGTGGCTTGGATATGGAGAAGCATAGACAGCCTGTGTGACTCTGAAGACTTTAACGGAAATGAAACAGGAAGCCAGATCCTTTCACAGCTTGTTGGTCTGTGAAGACAAGCTGAGTCTGTAGAGACTCCTTTTCTAACCCCAGAAAAAAGCAACCAGGGGAGAGAAATCCAACCGGGGGTGATACTCTGGAGAGGAGATGCAGAGGCAACATGACAGACGGGCTAGCAAGAACAGAAACCACTTCATTGAACACAAAAACCGAAGCAGAAGTAGCTCAGAGAGAAGAGTTGGTAAGTTCATTCTGCTGTGCTATAAATTTTGGCATGTCAACAAACTGGTGATCAGCTAGAGAAAATCCTGTGTTGCTGATTGCAGCTGCATGGGTACTACTTTTACCTATGTGTCGGACTACCTGACCTTGATAGTAGTAATAAGTTATGATAAACAAGGAAATGGTTCTTGACTGTTAAAAAAGGGCTTGAAAAACCAAAGGAGGAAGCTGTCACCAGTTCTGCACCTCAGCTTCCTACTTTTACTGGGTTGGATGCTGTTGCCTTTGTCTCAGCACTTGTTTGGAATTGCTTACATTTTTTTGTGCCATGATTAAAATGCTGCTGCTCACCTGCAGATGAGCACAGCAGTTGCTTTGGCTACTGATTTGTAGGTTTAAACAGACCCAGTCAAAATGTCTTCACACTTGCTTAGCAATGGCTTTCAGTATAAGCTTTTGCAGTAATTGCTGTGCACTTCTCACATGGGTACACGCAGAGGGAGGTTGGAAATGCCATGAGGCTGCAGCTTGGAAATGCCATGACCTGCAGAAGAACCTGGAGGTTCATATTGTGGGAAAGTTCATAATACTCTCCTAAAGGAAGAAAATGCCATAAATATCCCTAAGCAGTATAACTTTTCCATCAGCACATAGCCCTGTTTGAGTATCAGAAGCATATGCAAAATGCCATGACCAGGAAGTCTGGAGGAAGATAATCCAGTTTAGGCTGCCTCCAGTCTGAGCTCCCAGGAACTGTCCCCTTGTCCCTGCAGAGCTGCTGCCTACTCAGAGGCAAAGCAGAGAATGCATTATTTCTGCTGAAACCTACTGAATGCATGGGCTGTGTAAGGCCTTCTCTATCTCCCTACATTGTTCTGTGGGAGCAGGTCCAGAGAAGGACCATGAAGTTGATATGAGCACTGGAGCACCTCCAGGAAGACAGACTGAGAAAGTTGGGGTGTTCAGCCTGGAGGAGACTGTGTGCAGACCTCTTAGCAACCTTCCTGTGTCTGAAGGGAGCTTGCAGGGAAGCTGGAGAGGGACTCTATGTCAGGAGCTACAGTGATAGGACAAGGAGTAATGGGTTCAAACTGAAAGCGGGGAAATTTAGGTTAGATATTAGGAAAAAATTCTTTACTGTGAGGGTGGTGAGATGCTGGAACAGGTTGCCAAGGAAGGCTGTGGATGCCCCATCCCTGGCAGGGGGAGAGGGATTAGATGATTTTTCAAGGCCCCTTCCAGCCCTAAACATTCTATGATTCTCTGAAATATTTTAGTGAAGTTGACATTTTCTGAAGCTTCCTGAACCTTTGTAGCAGCATGTTTCCAATTCTGCAGAGTCTGTGAAAGAAACTGCCTTCCAGTTAGCTGCTATTTCCATTTCTGCTGTTGATCCCAGCTCAGATCTGGATCTTGCTTGTCCTCTCCAGGATTATCCTAACCCACATTAATCTAACAGGAACAGCACACACAGACCAGCCCAAGAGTGCAGGAGGGTTGTGTGTTACCTGGCGCAGTCTTACAGTGGTGTATGTATCCAACACCAAGAAGGGAGGCAGGTAAAAGCTGTCCCATCTCACTCATAAGGAGGAGAGACAACATTTTCCTGCCAAAGCCTGCAAAGATCCTAGAAACGTCTTCTTGACTCAGGGAAGAGGTCCAGAAAGAGCTTAAAGAGAAAGAAAAGGCACTATGGAGAGTGTTAGTTTAAAAAAGTCTCTCAAGAGGTTTCAGGTAAGTGATCTCTGATTGACTGACTGACTGATTGATTGATTGATTGATTGATTGTCCCAGGGCTTACTCCCATGCATAGAGGCCCAAGGCCATGCTCCAGACTGCAAATGCATGGAGGAGAGAGCAGAGAGCTGTGAAGTGGGAAGGACTCACTGATACAGGGCTTGATCTGTAGACATTGTACCATACATTTCATCTCCTCTGATGAGTCAGCAGCCAGATAAACATTCACTTTCAAGCCTGCCTGCACAGATAAATCGCCAATTAAATCCTAAGATCTTAACACAGGTTAAGAGAAGGTAGAAAGATGCAAACCTGAATTTAGCTGCAATGCTAAACCTTCTTCTGCCACCAACACTGGCCTGGCCAAGGTAAGAAAAGAGGTGGAAAGGGAAGCTGAAGGATGCTATAACTGCAGACAAGATGTGGAAATAAAACAAATACATTCCAGCCACCTTCAAGCCTTTGCAGGTGGATGCCATGTGAGCTGTACCCTGGCAGCATGTCTCTCAGCTGCAGCTCCTGAGACACAGCTACACTAAACACAATCTGCAAGTACAGACAGAAAGCACCAGGTAACTGGTGCTGTGGAGAGGCACAGAGGTGGAACTTAGGAAATTTTTTTCAAATGGATTTTTTGATGGAGCAGCACACAGTGCTACTTACACAACTGACAGCTTTAGGCCTCTTAAGTCAACTGTTTACTTTTGCTATTTTTAGTTGGGTTTTAAGCCTAGTTTTTCTTTTACTTGGATAAATGTGGCTATGACATTCTGCAAGTGCAACTAAGTGAATGCTTGGCACACCAATATTCAGCAGGTTTTGCCTATTTTGTTCCTTGCCCAGATTAACTGAGATGGAGAGAGAAACAATCTGATATACATGCCAGGCAATATAAATCTCTTTAGTGTTTCATGAAAAGTCTTGATCTTCAACCATATCTTGTGGTATTTTAGGGGGAAAAAACCAAACAAACCCAAACAAAATCCAATAACAGAAGACTGTGTAAGTTTATCTTGGCTCTGTAGGGGAGCAAACTTGTTTGTAACTCTGTAAAAGATTTAAGTCTTTGTTAGGACCATCACAATTCCTTTCTGTTTATCCTGCAAAGTCCTTAACGAGATGGAAGAATACTATTCTTTAATGTGTAACCAGAAAAGAAAGTATACCAGTCTATGCAAATTCTCTACATACCTCTGTGAGAAATGACACATAAAAGTCTATTATAAGGGAAGGTACTTGGCAAAGGGGAATTTCTTTTTGGATGAATGCACACTGTCTTGTTAAAGAGTGAGTTGGTGAGGAAATCAACATTTAATGGCAGGGAAAAACCGAAAAACAACCAATAATTTCAAAGTTATTACGTTGTGGTTATATTTAATGGCTATATTTCAAACAGATGATGATGGTGTTGGTCTCCATTCAGGGAGCTGGAATCCCTAGCACTGTTTCAGGCAACCCCATCCCTGGAAGAGTTCAGTGCCAGGCTGCATGGGGCTTTCAGCAACCGGGTCTAGTGGGAATCGTCCCTGCCCATGGCAGAGGGTTGGAACTAGATGATCTTTAGGGCCCCTTCCAGGCCAAACCATGGCATGATCCCATGCTGCTACAAAATGTAAAAGAGCATGGTGTGACACCCGAGCACAAACTGTATCTCACTGCCGGAGGAGCGGCAAGAGTTGCTGTGGAAATGGAGAACTCCGCTGGGAGGCGGGCCGAGAGACGGTGACAGGGGTTATCCCTCCTTCCCGGCTCCCGGGCACGGCCGGGTGGGATCGGGAGCGGGGCGTCCCCGCGGGATCCCCGCCCCGGGCGGTGCCGGCGCTGCCTTTGTTGCCGGCTGGGATCCCGGGAAGACGGGAGGTGCCGGCGCTGCCTTTGTAGCCGGCTGGGATCCCGGGGAGGCAGGACGAGAGCGGCCGAGCGGGTGAGGCGCGGCGGGCTGTGGGCGGGCTCGGAGGGCCCCCGGAGTCGCGGCGAGAGTTTGGCTTTATTTGCCGTTCCTTTATTTCTTCCCCCGCTTTATTTTCCACTTGACTCTTTGGGGGCCGTTTTCTAGGAGTGGCGGTAGCCGGAAAGCTGCTCCTAAGACCATCCCGGCAGGACCGCCCGGCTGTGCCCCCGCCCGTGTGGGGCCGGGGGCTGCGGGCGTGAGGGGAAATGCCGGCAGCGCCACGGGGCTGAGCTGCCCTGGGAACTGCTGTGTCCTGAGGGCGGAATTAGCGCCGGCATGCGTGGGGATCGGGGTTGTAAAACAGCAGCGTGAGCCGCTTTCAGCTCGGGCGTTCGGCCGGGCTTTGGATCTTTGCTTCGGGGGCGGTAAATTTTTTGTTTGTTTGTTTTTTTCTTTTCCTTACTATGTGCAGTGTGAATCTACGTGTTGCAGACTGGTTTGTATTCCCGTCAGAAAGGTGAAGGTCTAGGAAAAAGGGGTTCATAAATGCAGGTGTGTGTGATTCAGGAGGACCCAGGACGGGGTCGGCTGCAGGTGGTTCTCGGTGTCAGGAATCCTGAACATGATCCAGGTGTGCCCAGGTGGCCAAGAAAGCCAAGGGAATCCCGGTGTGTATCAGCAACAGTGCGGCCAGCAGGAGCAGGGCAGTGATTGTCCGTCCAACTGTGCTCAGCACTGCTGAGGGCACACCTCAAATCCAGTTCTGTGTCCTTCTCCACAGTAAAGACACTGAAGGGCTGGAGCATGTCCAGAGAAGGAAGGGCAGCTGTGGTTGTGAAGGGTCTGCAGCACAAGTCCCATGGGGAGCAGCAGGGGGAACTGGAGCCTGGAGAAAAGAAGGGTCAGGGTTGACATTTTTGCTCTCTACAACTACCTAAAGGAGGTTGTAGCCAGGTTAGGGGTCAGTCTATTCTCTCAAGTAACAAGTCATACCAGGAGAGATTTAGATTAGATATCAGGGAAATTTCTTTGCTGAAATGGCGTTCAGGCATGAGAATAGGCTGCCCAGGGAAGTGGTTGAGTCACCGTCCCTGGAGATATTTATTAGACATGTGGATGTGGCACTTGGGGACATGGTTAGTGGTGGGCTTGGTAGTGCGGGATTAACAATTAGACTTGATTTTTAAAAATTTTTTTCAACCTAAATGATCCTGTGATCTCTTATGTCACTGAGAAGTGGTTGTTCAGACTGAGGATACTATGCCCTACCAACTTGCTTTTCTGCTGAACATTCTGTGGTACGTTTCTGCTTTGATGGTTACTCATCCCGTTCTCATTTTGCACTGCCTTTCTTACTAAACCAGCTTGTTTTCTCTTTGGAGGAGCTGTGC